AAATAAAAATAAAAATAAAAAATCTTATTGTCTCAGTGGTCTTGCAGTTTCACTATGTTGTATTTAGCTGTGGATGTCTTTATATTTACACTGATTGGAATTCACTGAGCTTAACTCTGCTTATTGATATTTTTTATGAGTTCTTAGAAATTTTTAGCCATTAATTCTTCAAAGGTTGAGTCTTCATTTAAAAAACAAAACTTTTTTTCTCCTTCTAGAATAGGTTAGACATGTGTGGTGCCTTCTTAGTTTTGTCCTCCGTATCTCCTGTCTTCTCTCTTATGTTTTTCATCTCTTTATGTATTTGTATTATATTCTGGATTTTTTCGCATTAATGCTCTTTTCAGATGTATAATGTTATTTACCAAATTATTTTTAGTGATTTAAATATTTTTCTGAAGGTTTTTAAGAATTTATTTCATGCTGCCCTTCTTTTCCTAGAAATATATCAAACGTGCTTATTTTCTATTCTATGTGTAATAATTTCATTGTATGGAGGAGGTTTATGTCTGATTCTTCCATCTATTATTCCTGGTGGCTCATGCTGTTGGGGGGGACTCATTTCCTTATGTATTTAGCAATTTTATGCTGTGAGCTTCTCATTTTCCTTGTGGTTCCACATATGGAGTCTTACAGGGTTTGATCCTCCAGAGAGGGCTTGTTTGCTTCTCTCAGGTGACTGGGGACACTTCCAACTTGGGATCATGTTATATTTTCTGCTGGAGGTTTTAGTGTACTATTCAGATGGTGAATCTTGGCTACAAAATTGAGGATCTACTCCTAATTACAAATTCTCTGGCAATTTTTTCTGCTCTGCTTAGGACAACCTTTATTTTAGATTTGCTGTTTTATTGAAGCCATTTGGGGATCCAACTTTATGGGGAATATTTCCTATTAGATGTCCTACTTTGGGAAATCTTTTGAGGCAGTGAAAACATTTAGGCTAACTGGGCCTGTAAGATAAAAATATTCCTTAACTCATGGTTGCATTTAATATTTTAAAAATTGAATCCAACATGTCTAGTTTTCTAAAAATGAATATATTCTAGGAACTAGTCCTTGAACTGGTTGATGTAGTGATTTATTTATTTTTAATTTTTAAAAATTCTAGATGGACACATATCTTTACTTATTTATTTTTATATGTGCTGAGGCGCTCAAACCCTGTGCCTCACACATTCTAGGCAAGTGCTCTACTACTGGGCCCCAACCTCAGCCTCATGATTTACAATGGAAAGCTTCCTGATATTGAAGCTTTGTGCATTTGTGCAGTAAACCCAATTCTTGCATGGATTTACCAACTAGTCAGTCTTTTGAAGTGACTAGGTCCTAGTTGATACTATGTTATTTAGATTTATGAGAATTCTTTCTTGTATAAAATTGAACTTAATCTCGTGTGTGTATGTGTGTGTGTGTATACATATATTTCTTTTTTTTATTGGTTGTTCAAAACATTACAAAGCTCTTGACATATCATATTTCAAACATTAGTTTCAAGTGAGTTATGAACTCCCATTTTTACCCCAAATACAGATTGCAGAATCACATCGGTTACACATACACATTTTTACATAATGCCATACTAGTAACTGTTGTATTCTGCTATCTTTCCTATCCTCTACTATCCCCCCTCCCCCCTACACATATTTCTTAAGAATATACCCTATATATTCTTAAGAAAGAATGAAGTTATTTGTTTTAGCACTGTCTTTATTGGGTTGTTGTTGAAGTTATACATGCTGGCTAGCTTTATAAAAATAATGAATCTCTGCTGCTGTTGTTCTCTTTCTGGTGTCTTCTTCCCACCCCATCCCCATCCCCCACCCCCCTCTTGTGCTAAGTCCTAGCTCTGAAAATGAGGGAACTTCAGGCCACCTCTTTCTCTTTACCAATGATTTTTTCATACTCTTACCACAGTCTATCAGGTATAGCAATTTGGTTTTAGAGTTTGGGGGAAATAGAAGTTTCCTGAGTCCCTAGGTTCAGTTCTTCCTCAGTTCCATCTCTAAGGCCTCCTCCCACTTGACACTGCAGCCACATTGCCCTCCCCAGGTAGTGCACCTGAGACTTTGCTCTAGTTGGCCTTTCTGGAGTGAAATTCATTAGTTTAACAACTATTTATTTAGTGCCTATTATGTATCAAGTACTGAGAAGACTAAGATGTATAAGACAGAACAAGATTCCCACTCTCACGAAGTTCATAGTCCACTATGTCAATCAACAAACAGGTATAATACATGTTGTGCCAGATGGTAATCAGAATGCAGTGGAGAAAAAGAAGGCAGTTTGTGGCTTTCTAGCTTGTTTGGGTATCTGCAGGTCAAGTTCTCATTATTTCCTTCCCCATACCATGAATTCTTTAAACAAAATTAGAAAAAAAAATAGCCATTTTTTGTGCAATTACTTCTTGGTCAACATTTTAAACTGTATTGATAGGATTTTAGTAGGGATTATCTTGAATTTATAGATGTGGGACCAACATGACTGAGTTTGCCTATCTGTGAATATGGCATTGGCATTTTCCCTCTAAACTCGGGTCTTTTCAATCATCTCCATAAAGATCTTTTACACGTTTTGTATCTTTTTATTGGATTTATCTGAGGTTCTTTATGGCTTATTGTGTAGAACTTTTCCTACTCAGTGGTGGTTGGTGTACAGGGAATCACAGAGTATAGGTCAGTATCGTCTCCTGTCGGTCACTCCCTGCTCCGAGCTTTGGATACTTAACTTTGCCTCAGTGGGCTTTGTCATTCTGGGCCTGAAGCCAGTCCCCTCTCCATCAGGACTCCTTCCAATGCACTTTGGTTTAGGTTCATCCTGGGGTTGTATAACCCCTAAACCCAGCCTATTCTAAGATAGCTGCCCTTCCAGCTCTTCTGCCAGACTCACCAAGGGCTGCTATCTCTCAGATGGGGAAGTAAGGAGCCAGGCAGGGCCAGCTTTGGGTCCATTCTGGATCATTAAGGCAGATGGTGAGAACCCTGACTGATTTCCTGTGGCCCTGCCCTTCCCCATCCTCTCACCTGGAAGCACCGGCAATGGAAGATGACCCACTGGACCAGATCACTGGCCGTTCACTCTGCTGGATCTTTTAGGAGCTAGAGATCTGAGTTGCCTGGCAACAGGGGTAACAGAAGCATCCCAGGCCACAGTTGTCAAGCAACACAGAACTCACCAGGGCAGGCCTTCCCTATTGAAGAACTGTGCTGTACTTGGCTTCACTCCAGACAGCTCCAGGAATTAAGAGACAGAAGGGTGCTGCTAGTGGCCCCAGGTGGCTAAAGTACTGCCTTTCTTGGAGGGACTGACCCATGGCTTTGTGGACAGGGCAGTTCCTGGCAGAGATGCAACCCCTCTCCCAGATTAGTGCTGAGTGGTGCCAACTCAGCTTCTGGGCAGCCTTCTGGGCATAGGCCCTGCCCCCAGCAGGCTCCCCACTCTCCCTCTAGACCTACCTCCTGCTGCTTGGTGTTGAGCAGAATAAAGCCCATGTTTCTCCCCCCATGCCACCTTGTGGGCTATCATCTGCCAGGTTCATAAGCCTCCTTTCATCTGGCCACAGACAGGGCAGTGGAAAACTCCAAAGCCAGTTTTTTTTTTCTTTTATTATTATTATCATCGATCAAAAGGTGCTTGCTTACAAAGTGTTGAGAAGAGGTACATCCACAGCTCTGAGGGGAGGCCCAAGAGGCTACCCCCACCCTGCCTTGCCTCTGGAGTGGACATCATAAGGCATTTCACGCGTTGGTGATTTCACTTGTTTTTTTTTTTTTTTTGTTGTTGTTTTTTCTTTTTATAAAACCAAAACCAGTCCTGTAGTAGAAAGAAAAACCCCCACAATGAATTTTCAGGACCAAACTGAAGTGGGGAGGATTGGAATGGGGGGTTCTGAGGTCTGGGACTGAAGTCACAGTGGTCCAGTGCCCTCAAGGTTGGCAGAAGCTGCTGGAAGGGATAGGAGGGGAGGGCAGGGCACAGCTGACAGGAAGCCAAACTCAGACAGGTATACCCTGTCTTCATCATTTTTCACTTTTATATACCATAGAAATTTAAGCAAAATATTATATATATTTATATATCATATATATATATAAATTAGGCAAATAAAGAATCAGGGGGAGCAGAGATGGGGCACCCCCTGAGCCATCTGAGGAAGAGTGCCAGGTCTCTCATGCCCAGGTCACCAGCCCATGCTGAATGGGGGTCTGTTCATTATTGCTGATTTGGGACCTGGTTCTTGGGGGTGGGGAGCACCTATGGGCCCTGCCTTCTAGCTATTCCTGGCCTCTTTGGTTGTAGGCACTTGCTCCAGCATGGTCAAGGCTAGGCAAGGGGCTGCTGCCCTCAATCCACATGGGGGATACCCTCAATGGCCCCTTCTCCCCCATTGTGGGTTGTTGCTCCAGAAAGAGACCCTTTGTGCTCTGCTGGGCCTAGACAGGCCCCTTTCTGCTTGGTCTTTGGGCCCTGGGCTCCTAGGGGGTGGGCATCTCAGATATAAATATTGTGTTTAGCTACAAAATTCTCCCAACTCAAAGGGGTCTGGCTTCCTGATGTCTTTAAAAAGGGAATTCTTGCCTGGACAATTTTGTGGCAAGAAAGCACACTTGGAAAGCTGTCTGCTAAATGCTGTACTAAAAATATTTACTAAACATCATGGCTGGAAAGAAATGTAGATCATTTTTTTTTTCTTTTCTAAAAAAGTCAAAAGAGGTTCCCTAGGAAGGGCCAGTACCTCCCTGGGTTGGAGGCTGGTGGCCTGGGCAGCCATGGCCCCAGCCAGCTGGCCTGAGTTGTGAAAACTGGGGACTGGGGTGCCCATAGGGTCCAAGTCCATGGTGAAGGGGCAAGGGTGACTGGGTGCACCTAGGGGCTGGAGAGAACCCCGGTCAGCCCTTCCTCCTTCTAAGGTGAGAGTCCCCCAAAAGTGTTTTTTTTTTTTTTTAAGAGGGAAAAAGGGGAAGAAGTGCATGGGTGGGTGGGGATATATTCAGTACTAAATTGAATGCATTAAAAAAAAGTGGACCCAGCTGTGCAGGCGCCTATATTTGCTGCAAGGGTGGCGCTCAGAAGATGTTGGGGCACATGTGCCAGTCTTGCCTCTCCTTGGCCTCCCAGTAGCCACCCTTGTATATGCAGGCAGTTTCCCCGGTCAGTGGGTCCAGCCTCTTCTCGAACCACAGCGGCACGTACCCGTCTGACTCCTTCTCTGCTGGGCAGACACAGTGGGCCGGTTGGTAGGTGACCTGCTCTCCAGAACCCACCCCGTCCCTGCAGGATCCCCATCCTAAGCACCCCTTTCGCCCTCTGGACACTCCTCCTTCCTTTTTCCCAGGCACCCCCTTGCACCCTCCACCTGCCCCCCCCCCCCGGGGGGGGCACCCTCTCAGCCCAGCCTCACCTTCCTCTATTGTGCAGCCTTGCCCATGGCCAGACATACAGGACTCCATTCGCCTGCGCCGCGACAAGCGTTGCTTCTCTTCCAGCCGCTGCTTCTCAGTGTTGGCCTCGTCCCAGCGCCCCTTCTCCATCAGCCGCTGGTCCGGCCGAAGGCGGCTATCCGTGGGCGCTACGCCCTCCTCCAGCTCGTTTAGGGTTAGGGCCAGCTCCGAGAAGTAGTACATGTTTTCTGCGTTTTCCCTGCGGCGGCGTGAGCAGGACCGTGCGCTGTCCCCAGGCCACCTCCACCGCTGGTCCCAAGCCGCCCCCCAGCCCCTCCCGACCCTCCTGGCCCCTCACCTCCTGGCCCCTCACCTCCTGGCCTGGGCCGACGTTTCCCTGCCCCATTGTTACTTCTGATGAACCTGCCGTACAAAACCCACCAGCTGCATCTAACTCGCTTTTTGCTGCCCGCACTTTGCCTGTGCTCCACCAACCCGCAGCTGCTTTGCTACTTTAGACTTAACTGAGATCACCATAAAACCGTTACCTAATATCTTCGTTGGTACTGCATTAACATCTGCAGCATAATAACCTTTCTTTTTGCATGTGTCAGAGGTTAGTCAGTTTATTGTTTGAAGATCAAACTTTGTTGCTCTCCAGCACCACAAAAACAAACCCAACAAAAACTTTTTTGCTCCTATTTTAGGGGTTTTTGGCCTCTATTTTGCTGTTATATTCCTTCAACTTTCCTGGGGTTAATTCTGCTATTGTTGTTTTTAACTTCTTGAGATGGATGCTTAGCTCATTTATTTTTCAGCATTTCTTCTTCTTTAATACAATGTGCTACACATTTCATTCCAATTGCTGCCTTAACTGAATCCTACCACTTTTTATTTATTTATTTATTTTTGGTACTGGGGATTGAACCCAGGGGCACTCAACCACTAAGCCACACATCCCCAGCACCCTCCCCCCTTTATTTTATTTAGAGACAGGATCTTACTGAGTTGCTTAAGGTCTGCTAAGTTGCTGAGGCTGGCTTTGGACTCAGGATCCTCCTACCTCAGCCTTCAAAGCCACTGGGATTACAGGACTGTGCCACCACGCCCAGCTGAATCCTACCACTTTTGATGTTATTATCATTCAGTTTTCTTTCACGATTTCTATTATATATTTTTGGACCTATGGATAGGTTGGAAATACCTAGCCTTACTCATATTGGGGGATCCAATCCAAAGCCTTACTAGGCAGGCACTCCACCACTGAAATACCTTCCCCATTGCTATTTAAAATTTTATTTTGAGTTAGGGCCTTGGTAAATTGCCTGGGCTGGACTGGAGCTTAAGATCCTTCTGCCTCAGCCTCCCAAGTAGCTGGGATTATAGTGTGTGCCAGCAAATTTCTTAAATTTATAAACACATGGGGACTTTTCTAGTTGTTTTTTCTTGCATAATTGCTTTGGAGTCAGATGATATACTTGGTATAATTTTTGTCCTTTGAAATTTTCCTATGGCACAGGATCTGGTCTATTTTTTTAGACATTTATTTATTTATTTATTTATTTTTATGTGGTGCTGAGGATGGAACCCAGGGCCTCACACGTACTAGATGAGCACTCTATTGCTGAGCCACAACCTCAGCCCAATATGGTAAATTTTTGCAAATGTTTCTATGCATTTGTTGGGTGCAGTATTCTATAACTGGTAGGTTCTGTTGTTCAACTGTATCCTCCTGAGGTTTTTTCCTATTCCTAAGAGACTGATATTAAAATTTCCCATTTTGATTGCATATCAGTATTTCTCTCTTTATATTTGTACCAGCCAGCTTATGTTATATATATTTTGAGGTTGTGTTTAGTAGAAGATATTTGGATTTAATACTCATCTTCCTGGTGAACCGAGCCTCATCATTATGAAGTATCTCTTTTATCTCTAGTATTTGTTGTAAAGTTTGTTTTGTGATGTGAATATAGCTAAGCAGCTTTTGTTTGGTATTTCTTTTTTTCTTTTCTTTTTTTTTTTTTTTTTTTTTAGTGATGCTGGGGATGGAACCCAGGGCAAGTGTTCCACCCCTGAGCTATAACATCCCCAGCTGTCATTAGTATTTATGTGGACATATCTTTTTTCATCCTGTCAAACCAATCTTTCTTTAGTTTCCAATTTAGATGCTTTTCTTGCAGACCACATATAATTGGATTTTTTTGATTTCCAAATCTTACACCTATAATGGGAATATTTAATGTAATTACAGGTTGAATATTCCTTATCTAAAACACTTAGGACTAGAAGTATTTTGGACTTTTTTGGAATTTGGAATATTTGCATGTACATAATAAAATATCTTTGGGATGAGACCCAGTATAAACACAAAATTTATATTTGTTCCGCACTGTACACACAGCCTAATTTTATTTATTTTTTATTTTTTTAAATATTTATTTTTTAGCTGTAGATGGACACAACACAATGCCTTTATTTTTATGTGGTGCTGAGGATCAAACCTGGGTCCTGCCCGTGCTAGGCGAGTGCTCTACTGCTGAGCCACAATCCCAGCCCCAGCCTAATTTTATGTCGCATTTTGAGTGTAACTATATTTCTGCGACCTGTCATATGAAATCAGGTGTGAAATTTTCTACTTTTGATGACTTATTAGTGCTCAAAAACTTTTGGAATTTGGAGCATTTTGGATTTCAGACTTGGATTAGGTACTAACTTGTGTTGATATGTTGTGTTTAAATCTACTATCTTGTTTTCTCTTTTTGTTGTTTTTGGGACCTCAGGCACACAGGTTTGGATTAGTCATAATCCTTAGTACATGATACTCTCTTTTAGCTCTTGCATGGTCTGCTTTTTATTAATCTAATGTTGCCACCATAAACAAAAGGTAGGATCCTGACAAAAACCTACATCTAACCATATAGAAAACTCACCAATCCATTCCCTTTTCAGATAGCCATCAGCAAGACTCCTGGGTTCATCAGTCCCCTACTTTCCTTTTAATAGAATTTTATTGTATCTTTAAGTATTTCTCTGTGTACACACACACACACACACACACATTATGACATATAATATTTTGGATTTTTATTTACTTAATATTATAAGAGTTATCTATATTGTTGCATGGTGCTACGTGCTTCCTTTGTTTTAACTACTGCATAATATTCTTTACTGTGAATATATCACAGTTTTTCATTCAATAAATTCCTGGGTTGTTTCTAAGTTTTCTTACTATTGGATTAGTCTTGTGTGTGTGTGTGTGTGTGTGTGTGTGTGTGTGTGTTTCCTGTTGTACATTAACAGGAATTTCTCTTGGGTTTATACCTAGAAGTGGGGTTGCTGGGTTATTATCCTTCCTGATTTTTCATCTTTTTTTTTTTTTTTTTTTTTTGGTACTGGGGATTGAACAGAGGGGCATTTCAGGTTTGTGTCACTGTACCCAGTGTGATAATTCACCTTCAGGAGGTAAGGCCAAATGGTTTTCCAAAGTGGTTGCACCAATTTATACTCCTATTAGCAATGCATAAGAAATATTGTGGGTCCACATTTCTTCAACCATTGATAGACTTTTAAAATTTTTACTAATCAAATAAATTTAAAACAGGGGCTGGGTTGTGGCTCAGAGGTAGAGTGCTCGAGTGAGGCACTAGGCTCCATCCTCAGCACCACATAAAGTAAAATAAAGACATTGAGTCCACTATAACTAAAAAATTTAAAAAAATATAAAACAGATCTCACTGTGGTGGTTTTGATTTGCATTTCCCCAGTTAGCAATGATGTTGATTGTGTTTTTCATATAATGACTGGTCATATATGTTTCTTCTATGAAATTCTTGTTCATGACTCTTGCACATTTTGCCATTGGGTTGTTTTTGTTCGACTTGTTGATTAGAAATCTTTTATTTAAAAATTGTTAATTATAAAATTTTCTGTATTTTTGATACTAATCCTTTGTCAGGTATAGGAATTGTGGCTACCTTCTTCAAATTTATGTTTTGTCTTTTTGCTTTCCTTTTTATTTCTTCTTCTCCTTTTTTTTTTTTTTTTTTTTAGTATTGGGATTAAACCCAGGGCCTCACATATGCTTGACAAGTGTTCTACCACTGAGCTGCATCCTCAGCCCTTTTTTTAAAAGAAATTATTTTGAGACAAGATCTTGATAAGTTGCTCAGACTGGCCTAGAACTTGGAATCCTCTTGCCCAAGCCTCCTGAGTAACTGGGAATATAGGTGTGCACTATGCCTGACACCTCACTTTTAAAAAATTGTCTTTTAATGAGTAAAATGCTTCTTAATAAACAAAATGTTTTATATAGTTGAATGTACCAATGCTTTATTTGTATCTTGTTTAAGATATGTTTTCTTAAGTTCTAAAAGATATTAATCTTTTTTTTTAAGAGAGAGTGAGAGAGAGAGAGAGAGAATTTTTAATATTTATTTTTTAGTTCTCGGCGGACACAACATCTTTGTTGGTATGTGGTGCTGAGGATCGAACCCGGGCCGCACGCATGCCAGGCGAGCACGCTACCGCTTGAGCCACACCCCCAGCCCTTAATCTTTTTTTTTACTTAGAGTATTAACTTATTGTTTAGAAATAAGTTAAACTTAATACTTAACCATAAGGTCATTGTCTAGAGTTGATTTTTGTTTTAATGTAAGGGAGGGAATCAGTTAATCTATTTCCAAATATATAACTGTTTTGTCTCACATCCATGTGTGAACAGCCCCATCTTTCCACATGATCTGATATGTCACCTTTTTCATATATCAAAGATACACATGTATCCGTGGAGTTGTTCTAGGCTCATCATTTCACTCCACTTTAATTTCAAAGTAGGTCTTGATATCTACTATGGTTAAGTACTCTTTGGTCTTCTTCAGAAATGTCTTTGCCCTTTTATTCCTCAATATAAATTTAAAAACCCAGTTCAATGGAGATCCTTATTGGGATTTTATCTACTGATTCTTTAAATCATGACATCTTTATAATACTGAGTCTTTCTATCTATGAATGTTGTATTTTTCTCCATTTATTTAGTTCTCCGTTTGATATTTCTTAGTAAAGTTTTACAATTTTCTCTAGAGGTCTTGAATGTAAGATTTAGTACAAGGTCCTTAATATTCTCTTATATAATTGGTGCCTTAAAGTACATTTTCTAGTTGTTTGCTCTTAGTATGTAGAACTGAAACTGATTTTTACATATTAATCTTATATCTGGGCACATCTATTGAGATGTTAATATGACTAATTTGTGGATCTTCTAATATAAAATCATTCTTGCATATTCTGGATAAATTCAATATGATGGTAGATTGTTACTTTTTGTACACTGTTGAATTTTCTAATATCTTGTTTTGGAATTTTGCTTATGTAAGTGAAATAGGGTAGAAATTTTATTTTCCTAATTACTGTCTTTATCTGGTTTGGTATGAAAGTTATTCTGGGCTAAGAGTATAGAGACTATTTTCTCTGCTATGATCTGGAAGACTTTATTTAAAACTGGGTTAACATATTTCTTTTTTCCTTTTTTTATTTTTGGTACTGGGGATTATATACCCAGTCCTTCTTATTTTTTTACTTTGAAATAAGGTCTCACTAAGTTGCTTAGTATCTTGCTAAATTGCTGAGGGTGACCTTGAACTTGTGACCTCCTGCCTCAGCCTCCCAAGCTGATGGGGTTATAGGCATGTGACACCATACCCCACTGGTATTTCTTTTTTTTTAAATTTTATTTTTTATTTTATTTTATTTATTTATTTATTTATTTATTTTAGTTTTCGGTGGACACAACATCTTTGTTTGTATGTGGTGCTGAGGATCGAACCCGGGCCGCATGCATGCCAGGCCAGCGCGCTACCGCTTGAGCCACATCCCCAGCCCCCCGCACTGGTATTTCTTGAAAATTTTGATAGAATTTACCTGTAAAATTATCTGGGTCTGTGTTTTCCTTATAGTAATTAAAACTTACTTCTTTGTTTTCTTTAATTATTATAGGGTCATTGATGCTTTTTGTTTCTTCTGGAGTCAATTCTTGTAAGTTATATTTTTCTAAGACTGCATCCTAATACTATCTTTATACTTTATACGTCATGAAACCTTTTTCATTAATAATATTAATTTCCATCTTGATTAGTCTTAGCAGTAGGTTTCTCTATTGTTGTTTTTTTTCCTCAAAGAATCAACTTTTGACTTTATCAAGCTTCTTTATGTTTCCTTTTTCTATTTTATTGATTTCTTCTTTTGGGGGGTATATGTGTTGAACTTTACTTACCACAGAAACTCAGAAAAGAAAAAGCTACACATTTAGAAACTGTTTAAGGCAATATATTAGTTTTGAAGTATTACCTTTGTAATACTTCAGTATATATCCAGTTTTGAAATCTTGGCTGTCTTCAGTTCTAGATTAAAGTTGCTATTCTAATTTTCTATTTTAATCATGGGCTATTTAGCAACTTAAAATTGTTTCTAAATATATGAGGATTTCATCATTGTATTTGTAATGTCTAATTGACTTATGATAGATTGTAGTTTGTCAAGGCTTTCTTTAGGGTTTAGTACATGATTGTTTTTTGTATATAGTTCCATATATCCTTAAAAAAAGTATATTCTCTGATTGCTGCATCTATAAGCCTGTGAATGATCCTGTTGTTTTGATCCCCTTCATATTCTTCCTTTTTAAAATTTTAACTTGACCTATCAACAAGTGAGAAGGGTATATTGGAATCTCCCAATCTCCCACTATGGTGATGGATTTATCAATTTCTCTTGGGTATCATGATGCAAATTTTTGAGGCTGCTTTTTATATGCGTAATGTTTGAAACTTGGAATTTCTTAATAAATTTACCTCCTTTTCCTTCCTTAATAATGTTTTCACCTTCAAGTCTATTTTAGCTGACGTTAATATAGCTATTATAACTTTTTTAGATTGATTTTCACAACATCTCTTTTACTTTTGTCCTTTGCATATTTTTTGTCTTATAAGGAGTGTATTTCTCATTTTTTAAAAAATCCTATCAATATTTTGTTTTTTAACTGGTTTCATCTATTTATATTTATTATGAGCATTGAAATGCTTGAATATTTCTACTATGTTAATTTGCTGTTTTTGTTTGTAATATCTTTCATTATTTTTTTTCTTCTAATTAAAAGACCTATATGCATCTTCCTTTTAATAATAACTTAGCATTTCTTCATATTCCTGGTGTCTTTCCCTTTCTTCCCACATATTACTGTTACCTAGACTTTTAGTTCTTCATTATTATGGGAATATTTTCTCTTTTCCTTTGGTCTTTGTAATTGTTTTATAAAATCTGTTTACTTCATGTGTCTAGCACAACATCTTTTGAAATTTTTCCCTCCCCATTTTAAGATATTATGTCTAGGGGGCTGGGAATGTGCTTAGTGGTAGAGTGTTGTCTAACCAGTGTAAGTAGCATGCTGGAGGCCCTGGGTTTAATCTTCAGTTTATGTGTGCCAAACTTTCTGCTTTCTGTATGCCTGCTTGAGGTTTTTTTTTTTTTTTTTTAATCATATCTTCATATTGTATCTTAGTTGGATAGAACAATCTACATTCTAATTTCATTTTCTTCATAACTTTGAAAATATTACTCCAGTTTTGGCTGTTACTAAATCTGATGTTAATCTGAGTCTTCAGCCTTGACTGAAATCTTTTGGAAGGTATTAGAATTTTTTCTTTGATGTTCTCAGTTTTGACCCTGTGGTCTAACATTTTTATTTATTTCTCATCTTTGCCATTCTGTAGACCCTTTCAATTCAAGTCTTTCATTTCTTTCATTCGGAGAACTTTTTTTTTGGTGCTGAGGAATGCTAATAAGCACATTCTCTTCCATTAAACCACATCCTTAGCCCTCGGAAAGTTATTGTTATTCTCTTTAGCCATTCTTCCTCCTCTCCATTTTTTTTCTTCCTTTCTTCTGAGTTCCCAGCTAAATGTATTATTTTAGTGGCTACCCTCGGAATTACAGTATCCGTACTTCCAATAGTCTTGACCTACCTCCTGGGTAGCATAGGGCCTTCAAGCAGTTACCTCCATTTATTTCTCTTCTGACTTAATGGAGRTAACAGTAAATAAATGGAGGTAACAGTCTAAAATTTAAAACCCCATGAGACATTATTATTTTTGTTTATTCACTGTTCATTTAGATCCACATTTTTACTCTTCATTCATTTATACATCTTGGCTCTTTCACCTGGGATTAGTTACCTTCTTCCAAAAGTATATCCTTTAATGTAGATCTGGTGGCCAAGTAAATGTTTGTTTTCCATAAAAGATCTTTATTTCAACTTTATTCTTTAAAGATGGTTTGCCCCGGCAATGTGTCTCTTAGCACATGGAAGATATTACTTGGCTGTTTTCAAGTCCTCAATTTTGTTGATGAAAAGGTGTCTGTCAAGGTGAGGTTCCTCAGCTTGTAATTGCTTTAAAAAATCTAATATTGCCTAATATTCTCTGATATAGTTCCATCAGTCTCACTGTATAGACTTAGGTGTAGAAAATCCTCCGCTATTTGCTCTTCAGAAGTGGTCTCTGTTCCCTTCTAGGACTCTGACTAGAAGTGTTCTGGACACTGCTCTCAAACTTGCATGTGAATGCCCTGGGGACCTTATTGAATTGCAGATTCCCATTCTGTCTGGGGCAGATTATATACACTAACAAATCCCCAGGGTATGCCAACAAACCTACTCTGGGAACTTCACTAGGGTCACCCATAGGCCTTCTTCTCTAGCTTCTTAGGTTCTCCAGGATGTCTCTTTATGTTACAATGTGAGCATTCACCTATATTCAGGTGATGGATTCATTCTGTTAAAACTTTCCATGAAGTTCTCAACTTTGGTTATTTTCTTTTGTAGAATTTCTATTTTGTTCTCTTCAGAATCTGAAATTACACTTATAATTTTCTGTTTCTTGCAAGTTTTTTTCAAGTTCATTTTTATTTCTCAGTCATGGAAGGATTATGTCCAGTCACCTTGTCTCTGCATAGTATCTCTTTTCTCCAGATAGTTTTACATTCATTTTCTCTGGCTTCCATACTGGGATGTCAGGTGCATGATATTGTTCTTTGCCCACATGTCAACTGATCCCTCCCAACCTTGTGTTTCTTGCTGGGTGGGGGAAGGAGAGTCATCTTCCTGTTTACTGCTCACTAGCCTCCTTTCTGTTTCTCCCTCAATCCCTGTCCCATATCCTGAAGAGGGCCCCTAACCCTTACTCACGGCAGTGGGTACTTCTTCCACAGCAGTTTGGCTGGCAGAGTCTGATATACTGTCTTCTGCTTCCCATCAGAGCTGGAGCTGCTGGAACTACTGTGCACAATCTTGGAGCATTCCATCTGCTCATCCCATGAGCCAGACAGCACATAGTGGGCCTTGCCCTGGCTGTCACTCACCACTCCGGTCACCTGTGGATATTGGTGGGACTCATATAAGCACACATCCTAGTATGGGTCTCCTGGGGTGCTAGAAGGTGGGTCCTATTTACCTTTCGGGGTGCCTCTTTGGAGAAGTAGCTGTAGGGAATAAACTTCAGTTGGCACCGATCATTGGTCTTATGGTTCACAATCTCGATATCCCCTGACTGATGAGAGAAGGTAGTGGTCAGCGTCTAATCCCCAGGCCATATGCTCCCCTCCCAAGTGTACCCAGCTCTGACCTGGTCAATCCAGAGCTTGCCCACGATGATGTTGTGCACGGTTGAGGTGCTTTTCCTCCACACATAGTGATTCCCACTGGCCTGGAATTCCAAGTGGATGGCACCTGGAGGCCAGGTACACGTCAGAGATCATGGCCCTGGCATGTGGGGTCTACCACAGGCCCAGGGTCTCGAGAATCAGAAGATATTCGTATGGGCTGAAAGTTGAGGAGTAGGACAGGCCAGGAGGCATGTGGGTGGCAGTGGGGGGAATACCTACAGGGAGGTCTCCTGTGAGAGAGCCCTAAGTTGGTTTTTAGGGTCAGTAGTGTCCTTTTTGTTCTAGGAGCACACAGATACCCTGCTCACCAAGTGGCATGATAGAGATGTATTTCCCCCGGAACTTGCTGGCGATGGTGATCTCTTGCCAGAGGCTCCAGCCATGCTTGGAGAACACGTAGTGGGCAGCTGAGGGAGGGTGGTGGCTCACCTGGGACCAGACCAAATGGGTGTGAGCATTGCTGGACATGGGCCCATACCATCTTCCTTACCAGGCAGGGACAGACTGCCCTGATTCCAGGACACATCTCTGTAGCCACAGGAGCAGGCCTGGCTGCTCCTCTTGGTGGCCTTGGCCCAAAACAGGTCCCTGGGAAGGAAAGAATCCCGAGTGGAAAGGAACCCAGGTGACTGTCCTGGGCCTGCCCCAGCCATAGTAGTATGAGATGGGCCTGGTGTCACTATGCCTGGCTCTGGGACTGTGAAACAGGGGTGATGGTGGAGGCTGTGACACCAGAATGTGCCCAGAACTGGCCACGTTGAGGGCTAAGGAAGAAAGGGTGATGCTTTACCAAAGCTTCCATGCCCACTTTCTCATTTAACCCTCACTATACACCTGGGAACATGTATGGTATTACATGGAGGGAGAGGGTTCCGAATGGCAAAGCCATTTTAACCAAGGGGCAGAGTCTACCCTGGCTCAAGGGTAGAAGTCATGTCAGTGTCCTGCCTCAGGCCTCTTCTGTCGCCCATACGTGGCTCCAGCCCCCCTGAGCCTTCCCCTTACAGCACACTTTACCACTGCTTTTCCCCCAGGACACCTGCCAGCTGCCCTCTTCTGCCTCATGGCACCATCAAGTCTATCTTTCCTCATTTGACGCCTGACAGGCTCTGCCTTACCTAACCTCCTCAGAGCACTTACTTCTCATGGCCTTGAACAGGCTCCAAGCCCAGCCTCACCCCTGAACTCCAGCTGCCTCCACTCAGTCAGGTTCAACCTGACCAGAGTTAGCAAGCTCCTGACATCCCATCATGGTCATAGTTGTCCCATTTCCACAGGTAGCATCACTTCCTATGCCTTGGGATTGTAGGCCCAACCTGCCAGCTGCCCTGCATGAAGAGGGGGGAACTGTCCCTTAGCCCAGCTATCACCTATGGTGGGGCTACCACACATTCACTAGAGTTATCCCTATGAGAAAATGCAGGGATATGATCACAATGTCAGGATGCGGGAGCCCTGCATTATCCTTACTTTCATCTCAGGCCCATACTGTCTTTCTAGTTGCTCACACCAAATGCTTTGGATCCTCCCTGGTCTCTTCCTCATGTTCCTCATCAAATCCTTAGCAAATCTTGTGTGTCCCTCCTTCAAAACATACCCAGCATCTATACCTTCCCCAATCTTACCTGTACCTCCCCCCATCTCTCCACTGGAGACCCTTGTCTCCTCCTTTCCTCCCTCTCTCTGCATCAAACTGCTCCTGGACCCATCCCCCTTTTAGAAAGAGTCAGAAGTATCTGATATACAAAATGACTGAGCACTCCCTGCAGCCCCCATGAGAACAAGAGCCACATATCCCAGTTCCCTATCTGCATCTTCAACATGTGAAAATATTTGGCACATCTAGGGTACTTAATGGTTGCTGAATGAATGAATGCATTTTATTTAGGGGTTCAGGCCAAGGACCATGGGGTTACCCTTGAATGGCCCAAACTCCATACCCCAAATATCTACAAACCGCCTAGATTCACCTTCAAAACCCGGCCAGAACACCCCTATGTGGGTCACTGTAGTCACCTCCTTATGGATTTTCACAGCAGCAGTAGCCTTTTAAACTAGCACTAAGATCAGTGAACTCCAGCATTCTGGGAAAATTCCACGAGCCAGAGCAGCACCAGCACCAATAGAATTAATTGCTTCTTGAATGACATGGACATCCAGGCTCAGTGTCAAAATGCCAAGTTGAGGTTCGTAGACCACTGGGCCTGAGTCTTGCTCATCTCCAGGGGATAGGGTAGAAAAGGGATGAAGATGGGTGGGAGGAAGGGACACTGGCCAGGGCAGTGTTTATCACAATGTGCATGGCTATTCCAGGTTCTGCCTGCATGCTACTTTTCAATTCAGTGGTGACCCCACACTCTGGTCTGCCTGGACTTCTAACAATGCCCTGCGAAATTCCTCCCACCTCTGCCACATGGTTCCCTGGCTGTGAGATGGGACCTCCCCTTTCCTGACACCAGATCCAACACTGTTTCCCACTAAGCTCTCTTCTAATGCCCCTCACTGTTTTCAGGAGGCCCTAGACTTATTCCTGCCATAAGAGGCCCAACTACCCAGCTGGACCTCAGCTGATGGCCCCTAGCAGGAGTTGCCCAGTACCAGCCTGCTGGGCCTCACCTGTTCACAGAGGGAGCGCAGGCCCATTTCCTCCATGCGATCCAACTCAAATGTTTCCCCTAGCATGGGGTTGAAGGGCTTGGCGATGCGGTGCACAGTGGTGGAGTAGGAGGACACAGAGAAGGCAGCCACTAGGCACATCTGCTCCACTGAGTTGGTGCAATGCACTGCCTTGTCTAGAAGGTGGTGGTACTCCAAGTCCTCAGTCAGCCGCTGGAGCATGGATAGGGGTTCATTGAAGTTCACCTGTAGGTGAATAGGGAGGAGGGAAGATGATCAGACCAGATCAGATTACTCTGAATATGCACATCATGGCACCTCTGTTTTTCTCAGACATTGAGGGACATAGCTGATCTAATGATACTTTCACAGTGAGGCCCCTTTAACAACCTGGCTGTCTAGCACCTCAGCCCTACCCTGTTACCTCCCTGGTCCCTTCTGCCTCAGTTTCCTTTGCAGCATAAAAATAGCATATTTTGATGATGTTTACTGTTACTTTTCCCACTTTGTAGATGCCTCAAAGGCCAGGGCATCTGACTTGCTCACTACAGTTATGGTGAGTATTAAACTATTGGAATCAGAGAGTGAATAAGTAAATAAGGAAATCTGTGGATAGAAAAAGTGGGGATCTTCCTCATAGTCTGAACTGTGATCTAAGTTTTTCTGTCAAGGGCTCCTGTGGAGGCCCCTGTGCAGGATGGATAGAGCTCAGAGCCCCTGTCAGCCTCTAACATCGTCACCCTCCCTCCAGAGTATTCCCTGTTGTCTCTCCATTCTCCCAGACATTCTGAAGAGGGTGCTGTGATTCCACTGTGCAGATGCAGACAGAGGCTAGAGATGTGAAAGGACTTGTATGGGTCACCAAGCAAACTCTCTGGCCTGGTGCCCCAAGCCTGCTCTTGGCGGAGATGCTATGGCAATCTGGTGATACAAGGACCTTAGGCCTATCCTTGGAACTCCAGTGGCTTTGCTGAGCCTCCATGTCCTGGGAGGGCACTAGAGATGGCCTATAGTATGAAGGAAGACTACTCTTCTATACACAAAGCCCACTCCCCCTTCACCAAGTCAGGACAGCTGGGATAGTGTGAAGCCTGGTCAGGGTTCCCTATATCTGCATTCACACACAGCCCTTCCCTGTCTCTTCCCTTTGAGACTGAGGACCCCTGCTCTTTGGAGGWCTGGCCGATGTTGTCAGACATAATTAAATAGTTACATGCTCCTCAGGTACCATTAAGGAAATGACACCTTAGGGCTGTCATATCCCAGAGGACTCCCACAACTGCCCTCCCCTGAGCTGCCTACCGGCATAGGGATCTTGGAGAGCTCACGGCCGATGCAGTTTTTCATGATGCTCCAGAGGTTAAGGCTGTAGTTGGGTTTGTCAGGGATACGGACACGCCTCTTGACTTTGGATGAACCCTTGGACACAAATGAGGCACTATCTAACACCTATCAGAGAAGCAGAGCAGGCCTGTTAGTGGACACCAGAGCTCCTTTGATCCCCCATGTCCTTGCCCTCACCTCTGAACTCCCCAGGGGCTAGTGCCAAGTTGGCTGCTGGCACATTTCTGAAAGGAAGGGCAGCTTTGCCTGAATTCAGCTTTGCCTGAAATGTTACATAGGAGGCAGATCCAGGACTCAAAGGTGGCCAGAGTTCTGGGATTGCCCCTGTGGCCCCAAGCTCACTGTACTGGCTGGCTTCTCCTCATAAGGAACCCAGAGCTTGGCCCCAGGCCAGGAGCCACCTCACTTACATTGTCTGAGCTCCAGTCCACTGAGCTTGTTCCAGTTCCACCTTCAGCTTTTCTGAGGGAAACAAATGGGGAGGCAAATTATGGGTGAATCTGAAGCCACTTTGTTACCTAGCCCACCTTTCCTCCAGACTCTTTGGTAGGATATGAGGGACAAGGTAACTCCAGTGTGCCATCTCAGATTCAGGATACTGAAGGTGGGGATAAGGGGCTCCGGCAGGGATCTGGAGATGTCCCATCCATAGGTACCCCTCTACCCCAACTGCAGCAGGCACTCAACAAAGCCTTTGGAGTCCCTGCCCTCAGGCCCCTCCTGGCAACTGAGTGACCCAGGAGCAAGAAAAAGCCTGGGAGTAGACACTTGTTCTGGGATGGCCTCATCTAGCCCTGTGGGCCCCTTTCTATCCCACACAGACCCCACTGAATCTGACTCCCAAACTAGACAAGGGTTCCTGAAGGGCAGGGAGTGGGTCTGATACATCCCTGCGCCCCTGAGAGTTGTAGAGTAGAGGGACACAGCAACAGGGGTACCATGGCTGAGGAGCCCAGGATCAGTGGAAGCCCATAGAGGGGAAAGCCGGCCCAGATAGGGCTCCAGGCATGGGAGGGAGGGGTGGACAGAGTCTGGAGGGGTGAGGCAGCCTGAGCAGGACCTTCCTGGCTGCAATGCTAAGAAGGAAATATTGCTGGTGAAAAAGTGCAAGGAAGCTCAGGATGGCCAAGTGAGCTAATTTGTGACTAATGTAAGTAATTTTAGATATTACTGGGAAATAGAAAATGACTCTGGGCTAGAAATACATGGCTGATGAGACTTGATAGCCTTTTCCATAGAAGACACTGGGATAGGTAGGTGTTAAAGCTCAGTGGCCCATGGAGGTCCCAGCTACAAGTAGAAATGGAGTGGCTAGGGCTTTGCACTAGCCTACTCACCCCTGACTTGGCCACAGCTTGTGCCCAGCCCACCTGCCCATCTCTCGTTTTTCTCTCTGTACCTGTTGGTGTGCTGGCATCCACAAAAATTTCCTGTGGCTCTGAGAGTCTGACAGCTACGTTTTTATTGCTAGTAAATGTTCTGGTCTCTAATGTATGCTTTTATGTGTATTTAGAAACATCATCAAAGAGCAGGTGTTTATGAATAATGAAAAAAAAGTTTGGAAATAGATGGGACTCCCTGCATCTTTCATCTGTTCTCAAATGATGACACTATGGAAGGAGTGGTTGGGGCCTTATGCTGCTCTGAGGCAAGGATGAGCAGCTGAGGCCTTCTGGGTCTTTTCTGAACCCCAGGCTGGAACTGGATTCAGTCAATGCTTGGTTCTCTCTCTCTATTTTTAATTAAGTGCCTGATGCAAACTTTGACTTTTTGATGCAAGGAAGAACAGAATATAAGCAAAAATACCATCTGGATAAAGTTTATAGCTGGTCAAAAGACCAGATGGAGCCAGAGAACACAATAGAAAAGGATGATTCTGGAGGAGGCTTCTCACAGGTCACAGCTGTCCCTGCTGGGAGTAAGTGCCCACCTGTCTTCCTTGGGCTGGGTGATCACGGTGATGAAGGATGTGGAGTCTTCCATGGCATCAAAGTACTCGGTATCTTCATCTTCCTCACTGTCCTCTCCTTTGGAAGTCAAGAGGCTTCCTAGAGATACATATAGAGCCACTATCTCAGTTTGCAACCTCTTTAAAAGGGCTTATCCTGCTGCCTGAAGAAATCCAGAGCCAAGGACTTGGCTCTTCCTGGCCCCACTCCCCTAACCCCTTATGCCATCTGTCCCTGACACAGGCACATGTGTGTGGGGATCAGGGTGTGCAGCAGAAACTAGGTGGAAACAGCCGGGGAGAGGGAGACTGAGGGTGGAGGGACGGAACAAATCCTGCTGGTCACTGCTCACCCACTTACCCTCGCTGAAGCTCTTGTTGGGGTTGGGGGGCCGGCCAGGAGCACTGCGGAAGGCCCGCTCAAGGCTGTTGTGCTGCTTGGCCAACTGTTCAATGGTTTCCTCCAAGTGGACACGCTGCTCTTGCTCATACTGCAGTGCCCGCTGCCATTTCCGGCTGTGTGTCTCAGCTAGTTCCAGGAAGTCCTTGCAGGCCTGGGAAGGACAAGTGGCCTCGTGAACTCTAGGCTTATGTAGGGGCAGGGAGGGGGCCCCTGGGGTTGCCATCTAGTTTCCCTTCCTTTTGCCAGGATGGTCAAAAACATGCCCACCACCCTCTGCTTTCCATGAAAATATGGGAACTTTGGCCTTTTCAGAGCCAACCCAGGAACTGGCACCCCCTGGTTGGCTGGCCTTAGACAGAATGCCATTTGGACAGTACCTGGTTGACGTGCTGCTTCCCCACAGGAGCCCCATGTAGCTGGAGGATGCTGGGTTATAGATCATCACAGCTGGAGCTCCAGCTTTCTGCTGCCATGTCCTCACCGTGCACTAGGACTGATGTTTGTCGCCAGTCCCTGCCCCCATGGGAACCCAAGGCAGCTCAGGCCAGCCCCAGGCTTTGCGCAGAAGGAAGGAAAGCCACATTCTGTTATACTTCCTGGCCCAGAGAGGTAATAAGTCTTGTCTGGTAGAAGAACTGGGACTGGAAATTTTTACCAAGTTACTTCATAGTCTGTATCACATAACTCTGCTTTTAAGGTTCCCCCTTCATACTTGTGGCCTACTTTGAGATTCAGATTCTTTTCAGTCTTCCATATAGGTGGTTCTACCACACTTTTAAGAATTGGATAGGTCATCCTGTCCCTGTTATTATAGCATAGATGAAGGCCCAGGCCTCAGCTATTCCTGGAAGGAGCGAGGTCCAAGCCAGAGATGTCTGAATTTGTTCTTTCCTAATTCCTTCTTTAACCCAGGAGGAGGGGTTGAATTTCCTGGGCCCAAGTCTGCATAATACTCTTGGACTGCCACCCCAAGTACTGCTTTCCTAGCCCTTGTTGCAGTCACCCACATGGAGGAACACTGCTGGGTTCCACAAATGGCACATGCTGTCCAACTCCGCAGGTTTGAGATGTGATTTCTTGGAGGGAGACAGGCACATGAGCCCCCATCTGTGACACAAGGATAATACAGCACTTTCTCAAAGGGCTGTTGGGGAAACAGGGCAGTGATAAGATTGATGGAGGGAGTGTTCAGCAGATAAGCCCTCATGGGCCACCAGCTGCACCTGCATAGGCCCTTGGTGCTCACACTTTCAGTATTATCTCTGGTGGCTCCTCATACCTCCCTTGCTTCCAGCCCCGGGAAACTGCACAGTCCCACCATAGTCAGGCCTGCTCAGACACCAGCCTCCACTACAATGGTATATTGGTGAGTTTGGCCAGCCTCTCTAGCAACTGTGTTTGTCTCTCTTCACAGTAACCCTCTTTCCATGAGATCCCTGAAACTCAGCAGGTACTGCAGTACATGAGTTGGCTGAGTGACACCCTGCCTAGGGACTTGGACTGATGGGAATGGAAGGGGTGGAGTATCCTGGGGCTTCCTCTGGGGAGCAGAGGCAGACCAGCTCAAAGTTGGTAGGCATCCAATGGCTCTGAGTCAGGCACCCTAACAGAGCTCAGGTGGTTTGCCCAACCCACAGGGACAGCCTGAGCACTGGTGGCAGGTCTGGCTTGGTGATAAGGGCCTCTAGTATGAGACTTAAGGGGGCTAATTGCTCAGCCTTGACCCTGATATATGTTTCCTTTAACAGTCATACTCTAGGCATCTCCCTCCACCATCTCCCCACTAAAACTCATGTGGATTAGGCAAGGCAAGGTTGGCCCCCGTCCATTCAGAAGAGGTGCAGACACAGGGTCTGGAGATGGAGTGTGACTTTCCCAAAGAAATCAGCAAAACATAGTGGAAAAAGGCACATTATCCGGACTTGGAAGACCTGAGTTCTGGCAAAGCCAGTTAGAACCTGACTTGAGTCCTGTCCACCTTTCCCCGAAAAGTCCTGGTGTTGGTCCCCTCCCTACCACACCTAAGTAGGGATTTATACTGATAAATGTCCTGGCACAGAATGGGGTGGGAAGAGAGAGCTTCTTGGGCATGGAAATAAATCTCCTTATCTCATGCTCTTAAAAGGTCCTGAAATTGGGAGAGGATGCGTTCAGAGGTTTGAAGGTCTGGGGATATTGTGAACTTGCAAATCATGGGTCTGTAAGACTCCCTTGCGTGCAAAGCTTCAGTCACTGGCTACCATGCAATTTGGAGATACAGCTCCAGGACTGACTCTACTATTCCCTGGCTTGTCAGCTGGAGCCAAGGCCTTTAGTTCCCTTGGCTCTAGAGTGATTTCCCTGCCTCATCTAGAACCCCATCTCTCCTCCAATGCTGTAGTCCTCAGGGTGGGGGAATCTGACAGCAGACGCAGTGACAACATGCCCCAGTGGCCAGACCAGAAGGCACTTCTTTGCTGGTTTTGTGCCAGTAGGTACAAGAGGCAGTGAGTGGGCAGAGTATCCCTCTGGGTACCCCAGGAATGTTCCAGACCCCCTTAGGATCCCTGTGGATAGACACCTTCATCACATTCCAAGATGGTGGACCCAAGGCTCCAAAGTCACATGGCAAGGAAGCAACAGAGTCTGATTGAAACCCAGGTCCTCAACCCAGAGCTTGGTCTACCTCCTACCTCAGACTGCTGTTTCCATAAGACTCATGTCCCCATGTTACCCTTGTTTCCCCACAGCCTTAAGTTTGGCCATAAGGTTCACTCAAGTTTGACTCAGTCCCTGCCACCCTTTTGCTGACCAAAGGAAGGAGTTCCCACACAGCTGGGCTGCTGTTTCTGGGCCACCAGTCAGCTATGCCACTGACCCAGGCAGCTGCCAACCCAGCCTCACAGCAGGTACAGAATGTACTTAAGTAATTCACTGAAGAGCACTTGTGGAGTACCCACATCTCCCTGGGCAGGCCTCTGGAAGTTCTTGGAAACTTTACTGATTCTTTGTTTTCTCTTCACATCCCCTGCCTCCAGACCTGAGGACCTGGGAGAAGGGGCAAACAGGATGGAGTCTCAAGTCGGCTCCATCCACATAGCCAGGCCACCTCCACATGAGAAAGACCACACAAGGTCCTCTTGTCTGTGTGGAACCCTGCTACAGCTGAAAGAGAAAGATGCTTCATTGTTTCCAGGTTCTTGCTGGTCTGTGGGTATCCCTTCTGGAGGCCTCTTGCTCCCTCAGCCCTAGTGTCTACTCCATCACTTCCTGTCAATCCTCTATAGCCTCTTGGATCCTCTCTTTTTGTATGAATAGTGATATAGATGGGTGCTTTGCTCTCATATAACTCATATTTAAAACAAAATTTAAAAGAACTGCATTACAACAGTATAAAAGAGGGCTCAGGCTAGTGATTCATATCAAGGGTTATCTTGGCTTCTTAGAAGCAAAAGCAAAAGCTACTTGGGAGGCTCAAGCAGGAGGGCTGCAAGTTCAAGGCTGGCTTGGGTAATTTAGCAAGACCTGTCTCAAAATAAGAAATAAAGGGTTAAGGATGTAGCTTAGTACTGCAAAAGAAAAAAAAAGAAAGAAAGAAAAAGAAAAGCAAAAGCAAAAAGATGAGATCACAGAGCAAACATCGAGGATGAATTAGGTTCCTTACTTTCCCTCATCTCCTACCCTCACTGTTTATGGGTTTTACATACTTAATAAATTATCATTTTTTTTCTTTAAGGGAAAATGTGTTTCCTACAGACCTGAATGGCTGACAGCCTCTCCCAGACCTGGCCCCAGTTCTTCCCCAGCTCATCTCCTGGGCTCCATTGTTCCCCAAGCCCTCAGGTGTGACCCACTATGTATGTGCTTCTTGCTCTTCCCTTATTGATCTCAAACACATCTGGTTATTCTGATGTGATCTCACCTTCCCAGCTCCCCGCACCTGCTTTGCTCAAGGAGGAAATGTAGGCTCAGTGAGGCCAAGGTACTTGCCTGAGGCCCCAAGGAGGTATCTGCAGGGCCAGGGTCTGAGTCCCTGTATGCCTCACCTGCATGTCTCCCAGGGCATGAAACCAGTGTTGCTATTTTATTTTGTAAAGCTAGATCTTTATTGCTATCTGAGAGCCCCTGGAAGGCAGAGATATAATACCCATGGGATCTCATGGCCTTTCTGATGCAGAGCTGGGCTCCTGGAAGATGCTTGCTTACAAGGATCCCTGTTTAAGCAATAGGGCCCAGCCCTGACCTCAGTGGGAGGAGGTTGCCTCCTTCAGGGTAACAGGATGCTGGCTGATACCTGACCATCTATGATCTCTATCTACCTCACAGCCTGAGTGGTGCAATGTGACAGGGAGAAGGAAGTCAAACACCCTGGACAGTTGAGGCCTCATTTAGGCCACATGTGGCCAGGCTGGGCTCATGCAGATCACAGACTGTCACAATCACCTGATGAAGTAGACAGGATGGAGGTTGCTCTGTCCTAATATTGAGAGGCTCACATGTGTGGACCCAGGGCTTTTGACATTGCCACTGGTGTGGGGGGTGTACTTGTAGCAAATGAGCTTCCTTGGTTACCCTGTGATCTGAAGAAGTCCATATGTCCTCTCTACCCCCAATGCACGCACCTGGTATCCATCCCCAATTCCCAGGGTCTCCTCTGCTGCTGCTGGCCACCTCCAGGCCCCATCCTCTCTGCACTGTGAAGAGAAAGCAGATTCCTGGCCTGGCCCTGCTGCTCTGGAATGCTGAGCTGGGCAGTGCCCTGTGGACTGTGTGTTTGCTAAGCTGGATTAAGCCTGGGGCCCATCTGGGCACTAGCAAGGGGGAGGCTTCCAAGGGCCCAGAGAAGGCCTGGCTGATCCAGGCAAGACCTAAACATGATCACTTCCACTGAGGTTCTATGACAGCTATACCTGGGGCTAGAAAGCTGTGCCAACCTCTTAGTAGGAGAGACTTTTGCTGACCCAGAACTCCCTACCCAAACTATACATGCCCTGAATCATTTGAGGGGTACTGATGGACTCAAGCCGGTAGCCAGAACCAGTGTCTGGACCCTGAATGAGTGCTGCCTTATTTCCCACTCTAGAGTAGGCCCATAACCTACTCCTGGGACTTGGCATGGAGGGGCTAGATCCCAGGACTCTGTCTACACAGTCCATGATTATGTGACTAATT